GTGGGGGTGAGGGGGGACGAGGAGGGAGGACGAAGGCGCTCGGGGCGAACAAGCGCTCGAAGGAACGGTGGTTTAGTCTTGTTGAGGGAGGTGATGGAGGGGCCTGGGGAGTGAATAAGCACTTGAACGCACGGCAATTGCTGTTAGTTGTGGAGGACGGGTGTTGCACGTGGTGAAGGTGATGCCACCACCGTAGGCTCATCGTTGGTCGCCCTTGTAGCCATACCATGGGTATGTCTAAAGGAATATGAATCCACTGAAACCCGTAACACAAATCGTTCAAGGTCCTTCTCGGCCGTACTTGTTTTGGATCCGAGGCTGTCGCGGAAGGTCATTCTCACGAATGTCTGATAGGTTGTGGTTTTTAAACTGTTCTCTTCGGGACACTGCACAGCACTTTCTGAGAGTTACAATAACTTGATGCCCCGAGTGCATGTTGCGATTAATTACAACGGCAAGGAGCGACGACAGCAGCAGCAGCACGAATGAACACTCATGAACCCCTTCCAAGACGAAACGAAACGAACCTCCATAGCGAGCGGTAATCGCCATCTCGAAACGCGCATTTATCTCTCTCGTGCCATAGGCGAAAGATGGAGCAAATGTCGGACAAATTTCGGTGGGAGGTGAAAGAGGTCAAGCGGATACGAAACGAGGTTCGCCGACGCCAAAGACGAATAGCTCAGGCGAACCTACGCGCTTGCTGCGCCATCATGATTCAGGCCACGTGGAGAAGATATCAGGCAAAGCTGCTGGCATGGGCCCGGCGGGGCTCGAAGCTCGGTCAGATACTGATGCGCTGGTGGCGACGGTGAGAGGGAGGGGGAAAGAGGCTCTGAGGACAACCTTTGTTCTCTTGAAGGCCGATACAACACCCCAAACCCAATAGACTATATTTCATTGGGAACCCCGGGCATTCGACGCGTGTCCCGTGAACAAACGAAGAACAACAGTATATACTAAGCAAGTCAATCGTTGGGGTTTGTATATCTGTTTTTCTCACTTTTGCCCCGTACTGAACGACGTGCCCGTGACGAGAGGGTTGAGCGTCATAGTCTTGTCCGCCCTCCCTGGCAGGTGCCGGGAGTCGCACATGCTCTTGTACGCCCTGCCCCACTCCCGTGCGGTGCCAACGGTCGGCCTAGCAGATTTATTCATCTGCCTTGTCATCCCCTGCAACCCCTTTCGCCCGCCGCTACATCTCGTTGCGTGCAAACTCAACCTGAAGCTTCAAAGTACGTCAAAGCTTAAAGATAGTGAAGCGGTTCGTCAGCAACAACGTCCAACGTCACAGACGACTAAAGTACGAAAAACAGATATCGTCAACGAGGGTTCAGAGGGCATGGAGACGGTGGATGTTGCGCATGAGCTTGAGCCGGATGGTGTTAGCCACGGCTGCAACCGAGGTTCGGTCAAACGCGACGCATATTATTGTAGTGAATGTTTGAAGGACATTTTTAAAAGAACATGCTACAAGCTCTAATCGAATCGGGAGCATATCATCTAAAATATCGCAATTAAATCGACGACTGCCTATCGCGTAGAAGAACATCTGTAGATGGTTCGTTTCGGGACTGCGCTTTCAACAACAAGCCGACGCCGGCATGAGTAGGAACAAGACCAACTTGTGAAGTTGCGCTAGGGGTGTCAGGATTGGGTGGAGAACAACGCACTTATTCCGTTCCGCCGCTCACTGCAAACAACAAAGCTTAGTTAGCCATTGCGCAGCTCTGTCACAGGTTCTCTCGTCGCCCTTGTCCAAGCACACTTGATGGCAGCTGGAAGGCCAGGGCGCCAGAGGCACGAGACCGTCGCATTTGTTCCTTTGTCCCTCTCCTCCTCGGAATTCCTATCCTGGCTTCCCGTTTGACCAACCTCACCCCTTCTTGTGTTGTGACCAAACAGGAGGTGATTCAAAACGTGCTGGTGGAACTAGCCCGGCAGGTGTACATCGAAATCAAAGGCGCGGTCATTGCGCGGGCGTGGAAGCAATCCCGAAGAAGATTCGGCAACAAGAGCCGCAAGGTACGTTCGACACAATTCTACATTTTCTCGGTGCTTTCTCAATGGTAGCACGCATTTCACCGCCATGAAAATTCGGCAAGAAGGATCGGCAAGGTGCCTGTGCTAGTTTTGCTGCATCGATTGCTTTTTTTCGCGCTTATTTGCGCAAGACGCAGCAGGCCGTGAGTGCTTCTCTGTACAACGAAACTATTGGTGTCCTCGTTCGCAGGGAGGACAATTCGATGCAATCATATTTAGAGAAGACTCCTTTTGGCGGACGACGGACTTGGCTTAGGATAGATACTCCCCGGTGGGTGCTGACAGCGCCTTTTTGCGCAGGAGGGAATATATCGCAGAAACACTACTGTAACATCGTTCTCGGTGCATATCGATTTGTCGTACCTATTGGGTATTGCGAGTTCTCCTGCGGCGGTCCAGTCCCGCCCAAGCTTCGTCTTGTTGTACCTCAGACCATTGAATGAGGGTCGCAATATGCAGAGACTCACCGCGAGCTCCACCTCTAAACATTGAAAAGCCTCCGAGCACGCCGCCGAAAAATAACGGCGACAAATTTCACCGTATTCCCCCTCCCCTCCCCCCTCCAACGAACAGACTAGGTTTTCCCTCGAGAGTGCTCTTCCCTCTCCATCGCTTTTGCTTCTCTTATCTTACTGCCGAGCGTTTTCAACTCGTTGCCGGCATGACCACCAACAGGGCAAGAACGGGCGGGTTTTCGTAACTCAAGGCGGCGGCTCGTCCCCGCGACGAAAGCCCGCCAGGGCGGGGGGCTCGCGAACTGGGGTAACGTCGGACCCTTCCTCTGCTTACCCCCCCCGGCGTTCCCCATCCGCCGTACCCGGTAACCGGGGCGAGAACAGGGGCAAGAGCGGCCCGGCGGTTGCCTACCCCCCTCCCGCTTTCCTCGGCGTCGTTGCCGCCGCCACGACAAGAACGGCCACGTCCGCGGGCGCGGCAGCGGTTGCTACTGGTGGCGCCGGTGGCGACACGAACGAGGAGCGTCGGGGGTCGTCGCAGAGTGATAACCCATCACCGTCGTCACGCCAAAAGACGGTTTCGTCCTCCGAGGACGGCAGCAGCACGCTTAACCCGCACCCGCGCTCTCGACGGGCGCGGTCTTCTGCCTCGACGACGACGGAAGAAGAGGCGTTACGCGGCGGGGATGCCGGGGACTCAAAGGTGCCGGACTCATCGAGCGCTTACCGGCCACCTTTTGAAGCCGTTCCGGTAGTCGAGAGCCCGATGAGCGAGATGAGCTGTAGTAGCAGCTACGGTGTCGGTGACGGCGGCAGAGACGTTTTTGGACGCGCCGAAGACGATGCTACTACGGGTGCGGTGGAGGGCAGAGTGGAAGACGGGGGAACAACGCTGAACGAGAAGGCACAAGAGCCAGCTAATGCCAGTTCTACTGTGGCTGCTGCGGCCGTGGCGGTGGCGGCGTCTTCGGGGAAATTGGTGAAACAACCCAGGCGGCCGAGCGGTGAAAAACCAAGCAAACTGTCGGAGGGTCGTCGCAGCTATAGCAGACCACACGCAATCCAGGTCGGAGGTCGAAGCAGACTTCACAGCAGTGGTACCGACGGTAGTGGCAGGACCGCAGCGGCAACAAAGGAAGTGGTGGCATCTGCGGTTGCTGCGAGTAGTGCCGAGAGTAACAACCGTGACCCTCTGCCAGCTAGAAAAGAATCAACGGCGGTGGGGTGTTGCGTGACCGTTGCTCCAGGCGCTGCGGGGGCCGTAGACACCGAGACACGCCCAGCAGTTGCTGCCCTCGGTAAAGGCGAGGTGAACGTTGAGGAGGGGGTTCGACTTGGACGGGACGATGATGGCGACGATGATGATGATGGTCGTGACAACGATGATGATGATGATGATGATGGCGATGCGAACAAGATCTCGGCGGCGGTCGGACCGGACGAGTTAGTAGAGGGCTCTAAACAATCGAAGTTGGAAGAGTATGGTAGCGATGTGTTCGAAAGTGACGGCGAGCTTTCGTTGACACGCTGACTGAGATGAGCATAAGTTGATCGTTCGATTGGCAGCCTTGGTTTTGATGTGCCCCTCGATACTATTTCGCCACGATAAAGAGCGGATGGATTCGGTGTGACATGCACACAACAAGCATGACTGTTTTTGGAGGCAGAGATTACTGCGCCTTCTCTGAATCTTCCGGGGGGGGATGTTGCCCAAGAGCCTGATGACTTTGGGTGGTTGTTGTACAATAATAGCATACACTGAAGAAGTGTAGTACACGTCTTACCACGAAAAATGGGGGGACTGTCGTCATTAAATAAGACGAAAACACATACACGTATGCTCATAACAAATAACACACACGTAAATAATTCAACGAACGGTTGTGTTGGAGAAGGCACAAATCGACTTCTCGTAGCCATCGCCAACCGCTTGGCATTTGAAGCCTTTTGCAAGGGTATTTCGACGACGAAACAGCCTTGCTTCACCTAAAGGCTTTTCATACGAATAGGATTCGGAGACAATTTACCTTCGAGCTGGCTCTTTTTCTATCCGTACGAACTCTGTGATGTTTTCAAACGTCATGGACTACTTCTTGATCAGTTCCCACGACGGCCAATAAGCTGGGATCACGGTAGTAGACTAGTGCGGATGCAACGACCAAGTGGCAATGAGGAGAATTCGTTTGGCAGCGATGAAGGAGGAGGAGAGGGATCGGGAGGAGGATAAGACAGAGACCAAAGCAGCAGTCGAGGAGGGAATAATGGCGTGGAAGAGAGCAAGAGCTTCGAGCCAGACAACCTTCCCCACCTCAAAGGACTCGTCGGGCTACAGATACAGAAGCAGAAATGTCGAGAAGTTGCTGTGAAACTAACATGAGAACGAACGATGGAGTTGGAAGGAAGGAGCATGACGGTGAAAGCACTCCAAAACAAACTCGAGTGCAAGGTAGCAGCCTTAGTAGACGTGTGCAGTTTTCTTCTGTTGCTACCGTTTCTGTCTTTGATCCGGAGAAGAGGTTAGTCTCCCCCATGCCGCATTTATTAAAAGTGTTTGGTGTTTTCAACTCCACTGAGACGGACGTCTTTTCATCGGTCAGCCGGTTAACGCGGGCGATGCTTATACTAAAACACACACACACACATTGCATCAGTGGCTTCCTAGGTTCAAGCGAGGGCATGTGTGGAGCTATGGCCGTGTATGTGTTGCTATTTTGTTTGAGTCATCTAGCTGCTGACACGATGACTGTTGGATCTTGGGAGTGTACGATCATCAAATTGGGAGATGCAGCATACCACGATATCCTGGCTTCGGCTGGGCTTGAAATAACCCGTTTGCTGTCCTCCGCTCTTTGCATCAGTGGCTTCCTAGGTTCAAGCGAGGTCATGTGTGTAGCTGAGATGTGTGTCTTCGTGAAAGAACATGTAGAGAGAGTCGTATTGGCATTCGCATCAAGCGCATTGCGCATTTTTCGAAATTTGCCCCCTTCCAGGGACCTTGATTTTTACCCACTGGCACTGACGTCTTTTGATTGGTCAGCCGGTTAGATCGGTCGATGCTAATAATAAAAACACACACATTAGGACACACACAATAGGAAATATAAATACACACACAGATTGACTACACATCTTTAATCCGCAGAATAGATTAGTCTCCCCCATGCCGCCCCCTCACGGAGTCCCAGTTAATGGCATCTATCTTATTATTACTTCAATTAGAAGTGTTTCGTGTTTTCAACCGCACTGAGACTGGCGTCTTTTCATTGGAGTCAGCCGGTTAGCGCGGTCGATGCTAATATGCCAGTAAATAAAAACACGAACCTACACGCCGCACACCTGCCTGTGCGGAAAACACGTACTGAAAACACGAATATATAGCGCGCGGCGAGATTTCTAATTTTTTTATGGAAGTTCCTTTTCGGCGAGATTACATTTCTAGGCATTTCGGTTTCAACGCACTGCTGATTTATGGTGACATCAACGAAGGCTTGACCAGCTTTGACAATTGAGCACCGTTTACAATCAGAGCGCGCGCATGGAGAGCCTACAGCTTAGAAGTATACGTACAACACCTGGGCTTGGTTATTTATGGGTTCGTGTGCTTTACGGGGTCGACCGTGTAAAGCTCTCGCATGCCTAAGCGTGCTTTGCGTCGCAATGGTACAGATCGCTCCCAGCAGGGGCCCCCCGTGCACGGCAGACATCCGTCGGACGATCGAGCTACCCGAAACAACAAGTATATCATGCTTGAGGAGAGGGATCGCGAGGAGAGAAGACTACAGACAATAGAGGATTGGGAGCTGTCCGGCCAGAGAGGAGGGCCCAGGCCGCAGTGGATGCCTGCCGCCTCGGCCGGGCCCGCCGCTTCAGGAGGATGGGCTTCGCCGGGCGGCATCAAGCGAGGAGGAGCGGGATCCAGGCTGAGGATGACGAGAGTCGATGGGTTCAACTCATCAGTGGGGTTCTCACCTCGGAATAGCAAGGTGTGCACAATACAGCAGCAGTAGACTGCGCAGGTGGTTGGCCAGTACATACTACTGCTGTGCGTTGTCGTCGCTGGGCAGCGTTCCTTCCAGACAGTCTACTGCTGTATGTAGACTACAGGTACATTCAACAGCAGTAGTGTCGCCGAGCGCACTTAGTGTAGAGCCTATAGCTATAGGAATTGTCGAGTGTACGTGGACGCCTACAAATCCGCATCAGCATTATAGCCTAACAGTCCTACGAACTGTAGTCTATACTCCGAAGTATAAAGGTTTAGTCTACCAGCCTGATCGATACGAAAACTGGGGCATCGAAGGCCAGCTCTCCACCTCAACACTACTGTAACTCAATGAGAATGTTGACGCAACGCCCGGAGTGCCAAACATCATATCGTTGACACGATTTCCTTTGGTTCTAGCTCTTTATCGCCACCCTGTGGGCGCGGAACCCTGGCCCCGGTGCGGAATACGATTCTGTGTTCGTTCTGTGCACAAGCTTCTCCAAAGTACCCCTGGTGCGATAGCTCCGATGTGTGCAATACTTCGGCTAAGATATTTAGCAGATTTGCCGTTGTACAGGATCCATCTCTAGTAAAGCGCACTCGCCACCGAACGTAGATGTATATTGGCGGGGGCATTAGAAAACGCGGCGTAGTTCTCGTACGATTTCCTGACAAAATGTAGCGAAATACAATAACACTCCCCGGTGAACCGACTCTGAGGGGCGAAACCGCGGGGGTGCCCTGACCCACCACAACTTCGGTACCATTTGTAGACGACGGTGAAAGCCACACTGAGAGAAAGCCGATACTCATGGCGCTGGCACTATTACAATGCAGGGGTTACTACTCCAGTGAGCTCACCCCTTCCCCCCACTCTCCCCCCATCACCCGACGTTTTACCGAAGCTGCGGTCGGCGTACTTTGTTTCTTGACTTCGGGGCCTTGTCTAGAAAATACGAGACGAGACTAGCAGCCATCATCCCAATCTCGAGAAAGGCTCTTTTGCACGCTAAAACGAACACATCACTCTTCCCTGCGACATCAGTGGTAGTGCTATTAACAGGTTTGTAGCCAGTCAGACGAGCAAAAAGGGCTGCGCCTCTCTACACGTTGTGCTCTGTGAGTACTGTCCATACGTCGCCTAGGTTGAGGCTTGCTGGGCCGCACAACAACCCGCTACAACCTTCCTCTCGTGCCCGACACCCCAAATACTGATACACAGTACAGCAGACAGAACCGCCCCGTACTTGTCTTGCGTGTCGGAGATGAAAGTGTCCATGTGTCCATGCCTAGAAACACGTTCCTAAAACACAGCCAGCTATTAGATCAGATAGACTATTTACCTTTGGTTGTAGTCCCGACGCCTTCAAAGACCATGCTTACCGTCGGCACATTGTCGGTGCACCGTATAGAGCGTCGCGGAATCGGCTCGTCATGTCAGAGGAAGACGTGAGCTAAGTCTTGGCGATCTTTGAATAGCAACAAACGAGTGCCAGTCTGTTAGTTTAGGTTGTCAGACGTCGACCTTCATGTTTCGTGTTAGGGGGTACGTATACATGTTGATGAAGACTCAGCATCTATCTCCACATCCCCAGCCATACAAGAACGAGCATCTACGGAATATTAAGCAAGAGGTAAACAAGCTTGCTACTTTGGACTTCTACAGCGGCTAGTTCTACGCATACTGCTGTCTGTAGTGGCTTCGAGGCATCTCTCAGAGTCGTGTGTCATCCGTGTCATTGGCCTGCCCCTTCGGTGTTCGCGTTTTGCTCAAGCGATGAACACGACCTGTGATCGCATTACTCACCCTCCCGACAACGCGCATTTCGGCAACAATCTTCCTGGTACAACAAAGCTTGAGGTGCGCCTGTAGTGCCAGACCGGCCATTTTGTTCCATCACCTATCTTTTTGTGTACAAGTTTTAAGTTTTTCTCAGCTTTTTTGTCGACTGAAACCACCAATACAGTTTCGAGCGAGCACAGCCTACCGGCATCTGTATCTTCACCGAAACGTAATCACCATCCCGGCGCATACCGCCCTCGTGTACGACTCGGTGACGTACGCACACGCGCCATCGAAACAGTCCAGCTCCATGCTCTCTCGCGAGCAAAGTAGTCTTTATCCGTTTTTTTGGGCAACCACTGCCATCACCACTTACACGCATTGCATCCGTTCTACCGGCTGGTGAACCAAAACCTGCCCCCCACGAACGAACAGGACCGTCCGTTGGCGGAGCGGGCTTGCATTCCGACGACAGAGGTGATCAACGTTCTCGAGAACCTGTCGGGCACCTTAATTTTCAACACCGCCACCTCGCAGGAGCGGCTCGCGCTTGCCAGTCGGTTGCGGCATTGGGTCGTCGCGGACGGCACGTACCTCATCCGAGAGGGCGACGGGGATAGGAATCGGTCGGCGATTTTCATGATCGGTGGGTCGGTGCGTGGCGGGTTTCGGTGGCCTCACGACATGGACCGTGTTTGGTGTTCAAAAGGCGTCTGAAATTGGACTGGTCATGCACCCACTCACCTTGGGCCAGGAATTGTCTCGTATTATGCGCCACGCAGGGCTGATAGGCGCAGCAGGATGGGCCACCTGTGGTCAGAGTCCGGGGAAGGGAGACTCTATCCGAAACGGCAATTCCTCGCAAGCAGTTTGTTGAAGGCAGTGAAAATGTTCGTCGGAATGAAAGGCCGTGCCGGCATTTTCAATGCGTTGGGCGAGTCGTCACAGTTCGAGTACGACGCCTGCATGTGCTCATGTAACACACTCTTGTAGGACATTGCCTCTAGAGCCAGAGCACCATTCCCCCCGCCCGCACGGTCCCTGCAATGCCGCGGGTTCATCACAACCATCGCCCCGGCAACCCACTTCTTCCCTCACGCCCCCCGTCTGCCTCCCCCCACCTACCTCCGTCCATCCTGCGTCATGACCGCCTACTTCTCGTCCCATGTTTGATCTGGGGGTGTAGCCTCGGGGAAAGCCACGATATCCCTCAACAGAACCATCGAGGGCGGCTCTGTCCAGGAGGTGGACATCAAAGACATCAAATCCCCCAACTACTTCGGGGAAGGGAGGGTCCTGGGGGACAGTCGGGCGTACGCGAGCGTGAGGGCGAAGGAGGAGCTTGTGGTGTACTACCTCATGCGGGCCGACATCGAAGAGCTTGTTAGGTTAGTGGGGTCACCGCCCGTCTCGCCGCCCACGAGTACCTCTCGGGCCAATCTTGCAGCGAGGTTGCTTGCGTAACGATCTGTGCCGGCGTTTCGGTATGCACCCTCTGGTGGATGTTTTTTTGCGGGACGGGGCGGGTGTTGGACGGGGGCTTGAGGTCCCCCCTGCATCCTTTGAATCGATCAGTGTATCCATCGCCAGTCTGTGGCAGCGTAGCGCCCTTCGTCAGCACGACTACCTTCGTCAAACGATTGTTCTGGGGTTGAAGGTCAGGCGGTGCGCGTCAATTTGATTTCACGCTTCACACCACAAACAAACATGGATTTGCGAAGTCGGGGAACGTACACCAGCGATCTTTCACCAGCGATTACGCGATGTACGCGACCGCACTTGGCGTGTGTGTGGCGTGCAAAGGCTACGGTAACCGGTGTGCAAAGGCTACGGTGGCCCCCCCAACTTCTACGAATATTGCATGAACATTGTTGTGCTTCGTCGTATTCCTGGTCGTGCGGGAAGGAAAGTTGAACTCCCTAGCGGGCGGCTTAGTGTATCTTCCGGTCGCCTTGGTTGCCTGGGTAGGAATCATCCGATGGGGTCTGCGGGAGCTGTCAGAACAATACAAGGAGACATCGAAACACAGATGAAGCGACTTCTCTCTTCCTCATCTCCACACTCTTGCCACTCCTCTCTCTCTCCGTCGTCCGCTCCATCCCCAAGGGCCTCCACGCTTGCAAACGGTGGAACATGCCCACGTAGTAAAGACGTTTTGGTCTGACAGGGGAAGGCGGGGGGGGGGGGGGGGGGGGTCTGACGTTCTCGCCGGAAACACGCACGGTCATCCCTGGGATTTTGGCTCGTAGAATTGGTTCCTAGGCGAATCTTGGCAGGCAAGGACGAGCGTTCAAACGCCAACACAAAGTTAGTCCTGAACCGTCCTCTCAGTGCCAACGAAACGTGTTCTCGAATCAATCGTAGTCCTCTCAGAAGACCGAGCCCAGCAGCCGCGCTACGCATTTTGGAAACATCGTGGGAAACAGGAACCTAGACTTTCCCGTCCCAAAACGCCGTAAGTTTGGAGCCCACAACACCACCAGCGGCAGAAAAAACTCACACGGAATGTGCTGACTAATCCGCAGAACCAAGCCTAACATCGTGACGTATCGCCTGACTGTTGTGCTACAATTCATCTTTATGCCTCACCGGGGCCACCAATCAATCCGCCCAGCCCAACGACGAGGGCTTTGATGGAGCGGGACATGCTCGTCAGAAAGTTCCAGAAGGAGCACCTCGACGACCTTTTTGCGGTCATCAGGAAGAACTGTTCGGGCATGAAATGCCTCGCGAGATTCGCGGAGGAGCAACGGATGGGCGGGGAGGTCGGGTTCTTCATCGAGGTGGAAGGTACGAGAACAGCCGTAGAGTGGCTCAGCCATCCGGAGCGATTCGATGAGGAAGCGCGGGAAGGATTCAAAAGCGGGGAGGGGGGCTCCTATGTAGAGCATGCTCTTTCTCTATCTATCTGTCTCTCTCTCTCTCTTTCCGTAGAGTAACGTCGACACGGGTACTCGATGGGCCGAATAGAACAAGGCATCGAAAGCGGTGCTTGCTGTCTTTGAGGTGGAAGGGTGAATCTGGCGGGACTAATTTCGGCCAAGGGCGAGGATAATCTTCGCGTGTACTGCAGGGCGCCTCTCTTCGTCATACATCGAGAGGAGAGACAGAGACAGAGACAGAGACACAGAGAGAGAGAGAGAGAGAGAGAGAGAGAGAGAGAGAGAGAGAGAGAGAGAGACAGACAGACAGACAGACAGACAGGTGGGGTTGCTTGGTGACGGTGAAGGATCCACACTAATCCTTGCTGCGCTGGAGAGGTACCTTGACGTGGTACAGATAGACAATGATGAGTTTGCGAGGAAAGGAAATAGAGGCTTTCCGTGTTGATGGCTAGGCAAGCCGGTCTCACTTCATCGGCGAGGCTCTATCCTCCGGAATTTTTCTGTTGATTGCTGCGCCGAGCTCGAACCTTGCCTTGGGGAGAGCAAAGGCCACGGTGTGACCATCGCCGGTTGCTGCCTTCGTTCCTTCGACTGCCGACCTACCGCCTCGCCTACACGTCCCGACAAGCGGAAATTGCTGCCTACTTTCCCACCCTGCGCCATCGCTTTTACTTTATTTTTTTACCCACTTCGACGATTCGCTACAACTCTCTTCCTTTTTCGAGCAGCGTATCAGAACGCTGAAACGAGCGAGGACAACGAGGCGCGAAAGCAGCACGCGGAGAGAATAGTGGCCAGCTACATCTCTCCGAGCTCTTCCGGGGTGCCCAGCATGATCTACACCTCCGAAGCCCAGCGGAACGCCTTGGCGGCGAAGATGAGGAGGTTGTGGCCCAAGCACAAACCGAGGCACGAAAATAGCAGTAAACCCGGAAAAAGCGAGAAGGAGGGGGGGGGGGGGGGGGG